ATTGGTCTAGAGGAGAACTGCAGATTCAGCTGTTGATTGGTCTAGAGGACAACTGCAGACTCAGCTGTTGATTGGTCTAGAGGAGAACTGCAGATTCAGCTGTTGATTGGTCTAGAGGAGAAGAAGAGAAGAACTGTAGAATGCGCTAAGTGCTGATTGGTCTAGAGGAGAACTCCCCCTAAAGCCCTCTACCCCTCCACTGCTCATAAATGTAAAGTGTATCGAGACAATGTGAATTGCGCCATACTGATAAGAACTTTCCATTACTTTAGTTTTGATTTTGTTTTCTGATTATTTTCAGAGGACGCAAACGATTTGTAAGCGAAGGAGATGGTGGAGTATTGAAAAATCGCTGTCAATAAGCACCACTATAGGAAATACCTAGATCATGGCCACACACTATTTTACCGGCTCACTCATGGAGATTGAAAACACCGTGGGACAAGCATGCTGGCATTTTATCTACCCAATCTGAGACCCACCCACCCTCCAACACTTACTATGGTCACTCGAGGGATTTCCCATTGTAAAATATTTGCATTCGGTGTTGTGTAATTGTATAAAGAAAGTTCCAATAGCATACATTACTTGATGATGAAATAAAGGTGTTTGCTTACCAGGATATAGCTAGCAGAGGTAGCCTTCAAACAGCCTCAAAAACATGCCTACTCGACTTCCTTGAAATCGTTACTTGATATTTAACACATAAATAACGGGCAAAATATTTATATTATTCCTACGTATAGCACTGTTCGTCTGTTTTATTCTTATTAACATTGTTAATAAGTCGATAACAGAAAGTAGTTGCCTATTTTTCCGAGCCATTAGATCGTGTAAAAACTCGACAAAAATATTGATATTCTTGACATTTCGATTGTATGAGCAAAACAGCCATTAAATGGCTTAAGAAAACTGATTGAGTTAGACTTGACTCATTCGGCTACAAAACTATAGGAAAATCTCGCACGTTTGTRAAAAGAGATACAAAGATCTTTCAATGTTGTATTTATTACTTTTTGATTAATACGAAGAAGTTGGGTTTGAATTCGTATCAAAACTGTCGCGTTGTCATGAAAAGACGCGCTGTCATAACAACGGATTCGTTACTTCCGCTTCGATTGGATCCATAAAAAGTCCAGGTGATTTCGCTTCTCAGCCGAACCGAATTAGCTAATTACCAAACATTTTGTTCGTATCTCATATCCGCTTCTAGTCCAGGCTTTCGGCACGATATACAAAAGCTTTTACTCCAAATTAAAGAAAATTACTTGGAAAATTCACCAAATATCTTTTATAAATAGAACACGTCGTCGTTGGCGGAAAATACATCGTTTTGACAATTTGCTATGACAAACAATACTTTGGGCGCCTAGAGTTCAAACAAATCCCCTGGAACCGGTTGTACGAAGCTTGGATCTTACCCGTTGGATAGCGCTTATCCGGGGTATAAGTTATGCAGGCTTCGTACACTTCGTACATCATTTTATAACAAAATTCATTTTGATCGTTGAATATGAATGAATGTAGCTTACCATGTTGCATACCAAGCCCGAAATGCAGCACGGGAAAAATGCAGTTTAAATTTCGCCCTACCCTATCCCCGTGCGTCAAGTAGCGCGCGCGTTCGCTCTTTCCGTTTGTTGTCGCATACATATATATATTCATATGTAGATAATGTCAGCACCGAAAAAAATATATGCCGGAAAAACATGCGGACAAAGTTACCTCTTACCGGCTTTATCGTTTTTAAGTGATCAAAGCGTTCAACTGATATCTCACGAGTGAGCGCAGCGCACGAGTGAGATATCTAAATTGAACACGAGGAGATAAAATTCGTATCTCCAAGCGGCCATGDAATGTTCTGTTTATTATATAGATATCGATGAAACTTAAATAAAACAAAAGCTCAAAAATTCTTTATTAAAATACGTTACCATGTCAACAGCGATATCTTCACGTGTGAAAGATATGGTATCTTCCACTGGTTGAAAGATATCAAGTTTTCGACACTAGAGAAAACCTGGTATTTCATCGATATCTATATAAATAAAACACATTTCAAGCTTGGTAAACAACGATGCAACATGACCTTCACTAACCTTTTTGTGACAGCTGTTTAAATACAGCTTTCTCCATAACAAAAMACAAAAACAAACAAAAAAACACACACACACACAAACGCTGAATACTTCATACTAAATAGTATACAGTCCTTTGACTAAACGTCGTTTGATCGGCTTCATCCCCACGCGCCTAAACCGAAAAGGATCATGGGGATAATTAATTCACAGCTCACTGTTTTCGATCCCATTTAATTTGCTAAAACCATGCCTCGAGCATACGGCGAAGATTTAAACTGGCGAGCAGTTTGGATGACGCAAGTTCTTGGTAATTTACCCGTTATCCTTAGTTCGGTCTAGGCGCGTAGGGATGATCCGATCAACGACAACGTTTAGTCAAAGGACTGTATTTCAAGATCTAATTGCATTTTGGGTCGTGTAATGCATTCCATGCGAAAAAATATGCGATCTACATATAGAGCAGGTGCATGTTAAGTCGTAACCGATAGGGCAGAAAAACGGGTCCTACTTTCGACGTTTATGCGTTAATAAGCTTTAGACCCCGTCCACACGTATCCGGAAATTTTTGTATCCGGAAATTTTTTTTTGGCGGATACGGGTTGCGTCCACACGTGTCCGGAAATTTTTGTATCCGTATCCGAAAATTTTACGAAAACGGATACGTGTGGACGGTGAAAACGATTCGAATACGCTGCGTGTGGACGCAAACATTTTCGTATCCGCAAAAAATAATTTGCGGATACAAAAATTTCCGGATACGTGTGGACGGGGCCTTATATTTCATAAACAGGGTCTTTTGGGGCTGATTAACAAAATACCAAAATTTGGGGAAATTTAAGGAATGCGTATTTGAGATATAACGCCCTGAACGTTGGGAGAAATGATATTTTGATCAGCACAAAAACTAATATTTTCGCTAATACCTCGAAGTAGAATTGCTCGAGGTTGAGCAGAATTTTGTGAAAAGTTTAAAGCACAAGAGACACGAATGAAACACTAAACGTTTTTTAGCATGAATGAGAGATAAAGAAAAAAATTGCAAGAGTAGCAGCCTTGTCGTTTTTCTGCTCTGTCGTCATAACCAGCATCTTGGTTGACGATAACAAAGCATTCCTCATTAGCTTCTCTTGTTTGATCAACCATAATGGCGGTTGTTTGATAGATAACAAATCGTTAAATATTTACTTTTTATTTCAAATTAGGCGAGACCCACGATGCTTCTTGGAATTAACGATTAAGTATGCAGTATTCAGTATTCAACATTTTTTGAAATAGCTATATATCTTGCTACGTTTGCTTTAGGTTGAGGGGGAACTGGATCGAGTTGGCATTGCAGTGCATTGTGGGACTGTTCTAGACGCCATTTTGCCCCTCACCGTTTGGTCTATAGACCCCTTGCATGTGACGTCAAAGCAGCTCAATCTGGGGCTCAAATAAAAGAATTCTATCCTCTTGGGGATTGAAATTTTTTATGTTGTTTTAAATATGCGCAAGAAGTCTATACTTGAATGCGCATGCGCAGACATTCGAGAAAGATTTTTGCGAGACTAGGATGATGCGAGTAAAATAATATCTACAGATTATTACTGCTGAGCTTCCTGCAAAGAAATCTCAAAATCTGAACTTGAATCTTATCTTAAAAAGAGATTTTGTTGTCGCTATTCACCACCGCAAGTACAATCGGACCGATAATAAAAACAGCTAATCTGAAATAAGAAGCAGATGTTACCCCATTATTGTGCGAAGGTTACATCGCTTATATAGTACAGTCAACAAAATTACTTGACTCTGATTGGTCGAGAGGAGTACCGAATTAAGTCGCTATGGAAACACGGCCAAAACAATGTCAACAGCGGCAAAAAAAAAAAAAAAA